ATACAAAATTAATTAAAGCAGATTTTCAGAATTCGTGGTTTTCTCTAGAATATATAACTCAGTATCATATGGTAAGTTAATAAATTAAAATAAATTATATTACATTAATATTATAATTGTATTTTAATATATAATATTTTTCAATAATTTTTGTTTTAGATAATATTATTTATCTCAATTATAGGCTTTATAAATATCATACCTAAATCTCATAAAATTACATTAAATAAAAATATATCATTTAAAAAAATTGAATCTTCTACAAAAAATATAGAATTATTTGATTCATTTACAACAACTTCAAATAATAAACACAATTTTAAAATTAAAACTATTGGTAATTTAAATGAAAATGTTGTTAATCAATCGGTAGAAAACAAGTCTCAGTGTGTAGGAAATTCAATTAATTCCAAATCTATAATTTTTCAAAATTTATTGTAAGTAATTTATTAAATTATTAAATTTTTTAATTTTTCATTAATTTTTTATAAAATACAAAAAATAATTATTTATATTACAGTACAAATTCGGAATTACAGTCATCGCCAATATCTGTTGTCAGTAATGATGCAATATTTAATTCTACACCCATATATAAAAAGAATATGATAGATAATAGTTACTCATTGAATGATAGTTTGAGTACATTAAGCATATTATCACTAGATGAAAATAAACCAAAACATTCAACTAAAATACCTAAGATTTTTCAAACTAAAGTGTATAGTACAAAAAGTTCTGAGCTCTTTAAGAAATCTGGTAAAAGACATATTTTATCACCACCGAAACTAAAATCAGTTACACAAACATCCTGGGTAGCCGGTGGTTATTGGCAAGAAGGTATAGATGCACCATCATTGTCCAGATCATCCAGTCAAAGTTCTGGCTTTGGTTCTGTGAGTTCTAATTTTGGTCCATCTAGAGAACCATCTATACATGAATTTGATCAGTGTTCAGTTGTATCTGATACAACACAATCTTGTTATACAGTACGGCAAAATAATAGTTCCATTGGATCTTTTTGTCAACAAGGTCTTCAATTTCCATCAGAATCAAAAAATCAATCATTTAATAATCAAACAGTGAAACTTACATCAACTAATCTTTATACTTCACAAATGTTATTATCTCAAAATAACAAAAGAAATAATTCAATTTTTATGGATCAATGTTCACAAGGGCAAAACATGAATATAAATGATATTAAAAGTCCCTCTGAAATGCAAATATTTCCTAGTCATACCACTATTGTAACAAGTCCCATTTGGTTACCAATCCTTTTATGTGGCTCACTTGTATTAAATATAATAGTGTTATGTACTATTTTATTACATTGAACAGGGTATACATTTTTGCTATTCTATCTGAATTTATATTTGCCATTTATACGTATTTTAGTTTTTAATTATAAAGCAAGTTGATTACTATTTTATAAAGTAATTACTTATAAAAAATAGTAATTAATAATATAGAAATTTCAACTTGTTGATAAATAGCGATACACTGCCAGTATAAAGTTTTCTATTATTATCATAAAATCTTGTTATTATCACTCGCTTCTTTATCTCATATAAATCATTGTAAATAAATATTATTTTTTTATATGCATTTTACAAAGCATCAAATTTGAACAATAATGTTAAGTTAAACGCATAATAGTGGAAAATGGGATACTGGTTCGACGGAAAAATTATCTGACGTAAACTGTGAATCTTGTGATAAAAAAAACGTTCTCCATGTGTGTTCATTAGTAAGATATATATGTAATCCAAAAAATAAGAATTAAGAACTGAAATAATGTGAAATTAAATTCACTTTATATTGATGTTTAATTTTTTTTTTAATTCTATTATTATATTTGTGAATACAAAAAAAATTGTTTTCATTACTATGACTCATAATTAACAAACAACATTATAAATCCTATTAAAATAATTCTATTATTATTATAATACATGTTAATTTTTTATGTAAATTTTGGTACTTGCAATCTTGTACTATTATCTTGAATATGTTTTGAATGTTAATGTTTAATGTTTTGAATATGGTTTGAAAATAAAAAGATAAACTTTTTAAATGAGAAATATAATTTTTTTTAGTATATTCAGAATTTTTATTACAATTTTTAAGATATTTCTTATCTTTTTCAATCTTATTAAAATGATATATAATATATATTAAACAAAATTTTATCCAATTTATAAATATAAGTATTTTTTTAATGATAATTAAATATTGAAAAATATTTATGAAATAATATTGTAAATAAAAAACTACAGATGATAAAAGTACAAGCTAGCAATACCATTAAATGAAATAAAATATCAATAAAAGTTTCTATGATGGTGTTATTATATTTCTTTAAAAAATCAATATTTTTATTATATAATTATTTTAAAATTAAAATAAAAATAATTTTCAAATTACACTGCTAATTACATAATTAATATCTTAATATTTATACATATGTACATTTATGAAACTCTTTTTTTATTTTTTTTAATATAAATAAAAAATTTTGCATTACAAATTTTGTATATATATGATGAAATCCAAAGTATTCTTTATATTTGTAAGAATATATATTATTATGTTATGATATGATGTTAAAATAAATAAATAAAATAAATATTATATCTTTATTTAAGATGTTTGTGTAAAAAAATTTATATAAGTTTTTTAATGAATAATATATTTTATACTATTATTTTTTTGCATTTTGCACATTTGATACTGAATTTTTAACTTTAAATGGCAATAAACAATATTCATTATCTGATTTATATTTAAAATGTCCAAGATCTGGTATATTAAAATTCACTTTTCGTCTGCGAAATCTTCAATAAAATTAAATATAAATTAAATTATATAATAAAAATTGTAATTTAATAATAACTTACTTAGTAACTTGTTCAATATCTAATGGTTTTATTTCTCCTATCTCTTCCTTATAAGTGCTCCACCATTGACATTTGGCTATTCCTTCCTTTGAATCCCTATATATTTCTTCTTTTAATGCATCTTTTAATCCGAATTGAGTTAATGTACCAAAACTTTTCATTAAATCTTGTTCTGGAATCCATTTTCTTTGTCTTTAAATATAAAATATAAATTTCATAAATATATTAATAAGAATTAAAACATTTATATAATTTATTTATAATTAATACACACATAAAATCATATATACCTTGCATTATAAGATCTAATTTTAGGTCCTTCGAGACCTTTTGGTAAAATATTATAACATAAATCATAAGTAGTTGTCATATTACTATAATATTCCTTTTCGTGATGAAAAAATTTTTCTTGGGGTAAACCCTTATGAGAAAATTGTATTCAAAGACAATATTGTAATAATTAAACGTCATTTGAAGATTATTTTATATATCATTTATTTTCTATAACATACTTTAAATGGTAGTTTTGTATACCTCTTGTATAAGTTTATTTTCCCATTTTACAATTTGATTTATTTTCCAAGTTTCATTAATATGAGGTTTAAAATCTATTTCATATGTAGTTCTCCAATCATCAGGTTGGATTATGTAATCTGCTCTACGTTCAAACCAATCACCTACTAATGTCTTTGGTGAGTACTTGTTTTCGTCTAGTAGTGGTCCACGATCAAGTGTAATTTTTGTAGGAAATAATTTTTTTCGTACATCTGTTAATGATAATGTACCATCTAAACATTGTTGTTCCACATTCCAGTTCATAACATTCATGGTATTTATCTTTGAATAATATCATAAGAAAATAAATTAAACAATAAAGTAAAAATTAAAGTTATTATATTTATTATTGATTGAATTAAAAAATAAGTTATTAATCATATAAACTTTTTTATCAATAAGAAAAATCGGATATTTATAATTTTAATATTAAATAAATACATATATATAATATTAATTATTTTATTATTAAATATGCTGTCCAAGAATTATTACTTAAGAAATATTATTAAAAAATATTAATGTTTTTTTTATTTTTATATTTTTAATGCAATTTTCATTAATTATTAAATAATAAATAGTAATAAATTTTTTAAAAATAATTTTTCAAATGAGGAAGCGAGTTGCGTATAATAATCCAAGATACCTTGAAACTACAGTTTCTCTAAACTGCATACCATCTAATTCTAGAAAAATTTTAGGAATCCCTACTTCATTTTATTTTCTTCCTTTTATTTTCTGCTTCCGATGAGGTAGACCTGAATTTGATCGAGGGCTTTTGAAATATGTTATGACATATACACAAAACATGCAATGAAAAAAGAATTTATTATTTGCATTGCATTTTTATAGTAAACCTACTTCGATACTTATAGGTTTCACTATGCACCATCGAGCATCAGTATATTTTTTTTTAAAACGCCTGTAATTTTTTTATGTTGTGGAATTTAATTAAATAAACGCACGTATATAACATATAATTTTTCGAATAAAGCATAACGTAGCAAAGCACGTGATACAACTATATGAGTTTGTCGCACTTTTTCTGTACATTTTTCGGTATGTTTCTAAACCACAATGAAACGAATATCTACATCTGTCAACTTATTTATTTCCTTCACATTCGCATATTTCGTACAGTTTACAAAAGAACGGCAGCGGTTATAGATCAACCTCCTCATTAACAGTGATTTTTGTTTTTCTATGTGTATATTATTAAATATTAACTACTCTTTTTTAATTATAATTTTAAATATGTTTGATGTATTATGAAAATAATAATAACTCTGATTTTTATTTTATTTTTTTTCGTGTATATATATCGAAGATTTTTAAAAAGGACTTTTCGACAAGGATCTGATTTTTGAGGAGTTATACAATAAAATTCATCAAATTTTTCTTAAGCTTCATTGCCTGTTTATGCGCATAAATTATATAAATTATGATGTAAAAAAATAATAATAATAAACATATATGTCAATTAGAGAAAAATGCTGATAATTTAAATTATATTATAATATATATAACAGGCTGATTTATGAATTCGATCATTTTTTAATTATATTTTGATCGTAACAAAAATTTGTTCAATAAGTACTTTCGAATTTTTTTCTCCATGTTGAAAAATCAATAATGCCTTTACAATAGTCTATAAAAATAAATGTTATTTAGTAAGAAAAAGTGGTCGATACTCGAAATTCACAATTAAAGAGTTGCCTAGGCTGAAATTTTATTTCACGATTCAGTAGCTTAAGAAGAGAATTGAATCATGATCCAAAATTCAGCAGATACATTAATATCTTAGTTGAATAGTAGAATGAAAAATACATTATTGTATGACAATATTTCGACAATTGTTAAGGCTTTGAAACAGTAATGTTACGTGTATTTTTCAATAAATACATATATTTGTAGCCTTTTATGAGTAGGGCAACTTGCAAAGATCGTTTTAATTTGCCAAATAAATGTAATGGAATACGATTATATTTACATACATTTGACAATAATAATTGCACTCATTATGCACCACGCACTTGTCTTTGCATAATATGCAAACACAATTTCACTCTCGATATCACAAAAGTTAAAAAACGGAAGATGACAAAAAATGATTTCACATGGAAACATGATTTCTTTCGTTATTGTCAACAACAACGAGAGACAATGATTCATAAAGAAAATGTTAATTTTTTTTGTCTACACATAAAGAATCTGCGCGTAACAAAATTTCGACGTATCACAAACAAATATTTTGTTGCGCACAGTTTATAGAAACCTATCTTAAATTAATATTGTTTAGAATTCTCCTGCTCCGGACAATATATCAAGTACGTGTGGCTCGTACATTTTTAAGAAAATCATAAATAAAACAATTACAAAAAAGTACATAAAAAGTACACAAAAATTGAAAAGCATTAATTACTGACAAATATAGTTAAAGAATAGTTTTCTAAAAAATGCATGTGTACGTTACATTCAACGATTACACTGAAAAAAAAAAGAAAAAGAATGTGTGAGCGAATTTTCGGCGGCCTGCAACAGGTTTTAGGAACTTAAGCAGACCTGTGCAATAGCTCACAATTAGACGTACAATACATCTAGGTAACTTCCGAGCATAAGCTCAACATGAAGAAACATAAACTAATACGTTTATCTAAGACAAAAGACTTCTTTATAGACCAAATTTTATTGGCCTATAAAAATTTAAATGTAGTATAAAAGCCTCTGATATAAACAAGAATAAGCAATAATAAATTAATTTAAATTAGATGAATATATAAAGATCGATGTAATGAGAAATGTATTATAATTAATAAAATAAACATGAACAAAGATAAAGATGAAATTTTTCTGTTGAAAATGTTCATAAAGCCATTGGTTCTTGGACCATAATAATATTTAGAGTAGCCAACAAACTTAACACTTTCGTTAAGTGAGCTCTCTAGAAGGTCCGAAAAAATTTTTTATCGTGTATATGTTAATAGCAATGGAGAGAATTCTTACAATTATAAATACTTATAAGCCACGATCATTCCTACAATTTTTTCAAAGCCGCATGTCCAATCGCATTTCATGTCAGCGATACCTACCAAATGTTAGATAGTACTGCCTCATTTGATGGGAAATATTAATGTTGATAGCAGATCAATTAAAACTATTATAGACAAATTGATTAAATTATATTAATCATTTTTAGAAATTTATTTTCTATTCCATTATAATAGAATTCATTTATCTTTTTAAAGATACAGTATACAAAATTTTATAAGAAATAAATATTGAAATATTTTTCATAAGAGGCCTTTGCATGATTATTTGATAGACATTCACTTTTATTCATCGTGCATGATATTAAGTTAAATAATTTATAAAAATTAACTATTTACAAATCGATAGGACATGCAGCACTAATTTTATAACTTAATGCACTTATTTGAATATACCTAAGCACATGCTTGTTTTGAGACAAATAAAAAGAACTGGCGGTGCTCCTTGCGGATATATTACGTCTATTACCCTTACTATATAGTTGTAACATTTATGGGTATCCACTACAAATTAGAGTCTCTGGAACTCTATTGCTTTCATTGATGAAAGCGTTCTTGCATTCGTTTTCTGTAAAAGTGAAGGGTTTGGCATTATGCTCACGATCACTGTACGTTGTTATTACCCATATCTGAATAAAAACATGAAAAAAATAAACAAATATCAAAACTACATCAACAAAATCATTAACTAAAAATTAATTTTTTAACAAATAAAAAATTACCCATAACCATTTATTTAAAAAAATTGAAAATTAAAATTTTCGCAAGGTTTGTTCGTCTTTTAAATATTTTTATATGAAAATATCATTTGTTAAACTAAATAGTTTAACATCAAATATATTGAATATATTTATTCCAAACTGTATAACATTTTTATCGATTCCTTTATATAAAATCGGACAAACCTACGATTTTACAATAAAAATATAGATATATTCTTAATCATATGCATTGAAAAAAATATATGTAAAAATAATAAATATTCAAATTGTTACTTACCACGATTTCCCGTTCTAATAGCATTAACATTAGTTAAATGATGTTGACCAGCTCTAATTGGTTTAGCAATTTGTGCACTCGGTCCACGACGAGCTAAATTCTTTTGTCTAACTGCTTCCTTGATTCTATCTACCTCGTATTGATAACGTTTACGATCTCGCATTGCACCTTCTTTGGCATCTCGCAATGCTGTTTCTAGAGCTTTGACACGTTCCATAGTAGCCCGTAATCTTTTTTCAAGTTTAGGTAATTCACATCGAAGATCAGCATTATCTCTTACAAGTTGTTTATGAACCTATTAAATAAAAAATATATGGATATAATTCAATAAAATAAAAATATATATTTGCAATCATCTACCTTTGTAAGTTGGTCTAAATTATTCTCGAGGAAGGAAATCTTTTGTTTCTGTGTTAATGATCCACCATCATCTTCGTTATCTTCTGCAATCATAGTCTTCTTTATTCTAGTTTGAAGATCTTGAACAAATAACTTGCGTAGATTATGCAATGTTTGAAGTTCTTTGGCTACTGTTTCCTCTAGACCTTTAAGATCTTTTCGAGCCTATAAAAAAAAACATTAATAATCGTAAATTTTTTTAATTGCTCTTATATTTTGTAAAATTTATACATACTTGTTCACGACGTTCATTAAGCAAAATTAATTCTTGCAATTTAACAGATTTATTTGCTTCTTCTTGTTTTAATCGTTCATAATCCGCTTGCATTTGTTGATGAGCCAATGTGAATTTTTGATTCAAATCTTTAAGTTCACTAATCAATTCTTGTTTTTCAGATAATTCATCTCGAAGTGCTGCGACCTATATATTATATAATTAATAATAATACAATAATAATAACATATAATATAATGAATAATGTATTTAACATGTATTACTTGTTTTTGATGAGCATCTCGCAATTGATCCATTTGTTCTTCTAGTGCTACTCTCATCTTTGTCGCTGCTTCTTTTTCTTCTGCTTTTTCTTTATTTGTAACTGCTTGTACCTGTTCTGCAGCCTTTAACTTGGCACATTCTTCGCGTAAAGCATCAACATCTTCTTCTAAAGCACGTTTACGTGCTTCTGCTACTTTCATTGATTCCGTTAATGTTTGCATGCGAGCTTCGTGTTGAGAAATTAATAAACGACATTCAGCCAAATCTTTTTCATATTCAGCAACCTAAAATAAAATTTATGAATGAGTATCATAATTAAAAGTTAAATATAATAAATTCAAAAAGTATGAAATCGAATGCTTACTTTCTTGTTACAGTCTACTTGGAAACTTTCTAATCCTTGACATCGTTGTACTAAATTCTTCACCTCTGATTTCATTTTACTAATAAACAGTCTTGCCACAGTAAATTCTTCTTCAAGTTTACCATTACTTTCTGTAGGTGCAACCTAAAAAATATAAAATTTTTTATATTTTATTTAATATAAAAAATTAAAAAAAATTTTTTGAATGATTTAATAAATAAGATTTTACTTTTAGATTTTCATCACCACCAATTGCAACCCCAATTTCACCTAAATCTTTTAAGAAGTTTGCTAGCATTTCTGCAATACGTTTCCTTTGATGAGCCGACATATCCCGTAGTTGTTGTAATTCTGAAGCCGTACTGTTTAATGTTGTTTGTTTTGCTAATAATTCTTCTGTTAAAGTTTCAGTTTCTTTCTTTTTAATATCACACTATGAAAATGAATATTATATGAATTTAATATATATTCTTATATTTCTTAATAAAAATAATATAAAAAAATTAATACAAAAGATACCTCTTGGCATTTCTGATCATAATTAACTGCTAATTCTTCCAATGCTTGTAAAACTTCTTTAACTTCTTCTTTAGCCCGTTCGTGTTCTTGCTGTGTTCGATTTACTTCCTGTTGAAGTTTTTCATATTCACGTCTTGCAGTAGCAATTAATTCTGCTTGTTCATGAATTTGTTCTTTTAAGTTCTCAACATATTGTGATTGTTGATTGATTTCTTCATCTTTATCATCCAACTGTTGATAAAGTCTTTCACGTTCTTCTTCTAATTTTTGTCTTTCTTCATTAGATAAAGATCCAGCCATTAAGTTGCCACCAGGAGTGGCTGGCATCGGACCATCATCCAGTTTACCTGAAAATAATTATAATTTATAATAATATTGTAACATTTTTATTTTCAAAAAGTAAGTTAGATACTACCTTCAATAGACATATTAATTGGTGTTGTAACATCTGGTCCTTCAACCAAATTAACTTGTTCTTCAGGTTTAACAGTTTCACCCTGTCGCCAACGTGATAATTCAGCTTCTAATTTTTCAACTTTTCCTTTCAATCTAGCTGCTTTTTCCTTTTCTCTTTCGTAGCGACGTTTCCATTCTTCAGCTGTCAATTCCTCATTAACACATACAACATTCTTAATAGTTTTAGCACGTTTACCTAAAAAAATAAATAATATAATAATTGAAAAACTTCATTTGTCAGAAAGAAATCAAGAAATTTTTCTATTACCAAAATCTAATGTCGATTTTGTTTCTGATTCATTGAAACTAGCTGGTGAACAACAAATAATAATTGTAGTTCTGGCATTGCCACCAAGAGATTCTTGTAAAATTCTAGTCAATTTTGAATCACGATAAGGAATGTGAGTTTTATTTCCATCAGCTAAAGCTGATATTACATTGCCAAGTGCTGATAGAGATTTATTGATATTTTTTGCTTCATCTAGTACAGTTCCTTCTGCTCCAGTTTTAGAAACCTAAAATATAAAAACAAAACTAATATATTCTTTTATTTGAAAAAAAAAAAAAAAGGTATAGATATTTAATGAAATAGATATATTTATAATGCACCTTCTCTGAACCAGCCAAATCAACAAGATATAATTTTCCAGAAAGCTTCTTTTGGTTTTCTAAATTTTCTTGTTTCACATTTATTAAAAATACAGAATGAGAACGTGAACTGTGTTCGTTCATATTAGTTACTGCAATGTGCCTATTTGATTTTCCCTCTTCTATAACTTCAAATACTTCTTCAGGACTAGATACAAAGCGTTCTGTTGCACCTTTTACAAATGGAACTCGATTCTTATCTTCATGCACACTTAAATTCACTTTAGAAACTAAAAATAAAAGAAATTAAATTAGAAACTAATTAATTTTAATTAATAAGCTATGTTACATTAAATATAAAAAAAATTAAATATAGATAATATTCTTACCATCAAGAAGATCTCTAATTTTGTCCATATAGATTTCAAAGTATGATACCTTGATATGAAATTCCAAATTTTCTTCCATACCATAAATATGATTGAAAATATCATTAACAATTCTGGGAATAATACCTTGTTTATTTGGATCTCCAATAACACCTTCCATGGTATGTGTTTTTCCTAATTTATGCATAAATATTTTATTAAAAAAAACTATAGTATTTTTTAAATAAAATTCATTCTATAAAATTTTATAATTAGAATTTAATTTTTATAATTAATATAAGAAATCAACAAATTATAATATATATTTTAATTTACCTGAAGATGTTTGACCATATGCAAAAATAGTGCCGTTATACCCTGCCAACACATCTGTGACAATTGATCTAGCCGCTTCATTGTAAACTTTGTCTTGAGTAGCATTTGGTTTAAAAACTTTGTCAAAAAGATATACTTTTCCCTAAAAAATAATATAATATTAAAGAACATATATTTTCATGAAAAATCTGGAAACAATCATAAATTTCAGAAAATTTTAATTATATAATATAAATCATTTAAATTATACATTAATATATTATTTTATTTTATTAATTTGTATTTATGAACATATCCATATTAACTGTATAGAATAGAATTTTTAATAATTAAATAAACATTTTGAACATTAAACATAATAAAAAATATAATACACTAAAATATGTTCCGTTATAATAGCCGCGAACAAAATATTCTTTGTTTTCTTAATCAATGTCAGTTATGTATACATTGTCTTTAAATTATATAAACATATAAATATAATATAGCATTATAAATATTTATATCAGATAATAGAGTGATTTAAATTTTTAATTAAAGTTTGTAATTGTTCAATTAAATAAGTTTTTTAAATACTTTTGAATATTTGATTGGTACAAAGAAAAAAGAAGTAAAAGTGCGATAAAATAGTCATATTAAATATTTAAAAATTTAAAAAAAAAAAAGAAATAAAATTTTGCAATTATAGATATTATATATTATAATATTATTATTATTATATTGATATAATATATAATATAATATAATATTAATATAATAATAATAATAACAATAATTACAATCAACAAAAATTGATGATAATTAGTTAAATAATTAGATAATTAATTTCTGTAAATATTAAAAAAGAAAGATACAATAAAAGAAAAAGTGTTATAAAAGTTGTAATTAATAAACGATTCATGCAATAAACTTCGGTAGCGATGATGAAAAGATTTATGAAGAAAGCAAACTTCGAAAATATAAAAAAATTTTTATTGAAATCATAAAATAATGTCAAAAAACTTCAAAAAAGTTGGAAACTATGAATATTGATGATTAGAAGACTCATTATGAATGAATGAGTCCGAGCGATAGATTTTTTCATTCATCGTAAGATAGATAAAAAATAAGATAGATAAAATAACTATACTATTAGAAAAATAGAAAAATATAAATCGAAAAATTATAAAACAAATTAATTGCTAATATAATATTAAAATTAATAAACATAATAGTTAAAAAAATTTTTATTATTTAATAAGAAAGAATCAATCATTATCAAAAAAGAAAAAAATTTCATTATTTTTAATAAAATACTAAGTTATTTAATTATGCAAAATAATGATTTATGAGAAAAGCTTTTAGAAAAGTATTTTTTAAAATATTTCAATCATTATTGTTTATTATTACTTTTATTTTATTATTATGAAAATCTTAAAATCTTTGAATAAGAATGATGATTTAAATAGTTGACTTTAAAAAATAACAATATAATATATACAAATACAAATACTTGTCAACTTTGAATGAGTAATGATTTAATTTTATTTTATCAAATCAAATTTTATTTTTATATTATGTATTTTATAATAAATTATGAATAAAATAAAATATAAAATATAACATGGAAATCATAAATAAGAAAAGACATTTTCTAAATCTCTATAGAATATAAGAAAAAAGGGGGACAATTGCACTCAATAAAGCTTTGTTTCAGAAACCTCTTGAAACAATAGCAATATCTTTACTAAGCACCAGATCAAAAGACTTTCATATGAGAAAGAATTGGTACATTTATAAACATAATATTTATTTAAAATAATATCTATTTAAAAATAATATATATGCATTTCAGTATATTTCAAATCATAACATATTTAAAAATAATAGAAATAATTTCAAGTTTTAATTTAATAAATAATATAGAATTGCAATTCTGTTTAATGATTTTTTATACATTAATACATATTTTAATATATGAATCATAGATAATTATAAAAATACATTTTTATTTTACATTATTGAATTTATATATTTTCTATCTATTGGAAAAACTAATCTTTGAAATGATTTGATAATCTCTATATTTTATCTATCTTTTAAAATGTGAATTTATTTCTCAGTGCTGATGAAATCACTCATATAACATATTAAAAAACATTAAGTATACATATATTTTATAAAAAAATTTAGCAATTATAAAAAATAAGATCGTTTATTAAATTAATATATAGCGAATACGAATTCAATTAAATATTTTATAAAATCAAATTTATATTTATTGACAAATCTAAAGTTAAATCGTTATTAAGATAAAAATTGATGTTTGAATGAATTAAAACAATGAAATAAAACAAAAAAACCTGATAATAATTTAATATTATATATTTATTATATTTATTTCGAATTAAAATTTAATCGACCACTTAGATATGTCAACGTAAGAAAATCGTTCAGCAAAATGAGTACCGATGAAGATGAAATTAAATTTATTTTACTGAAAATAACAAAAGTGAATCATCGTACATTGTTCGAAAAAATTTTGTAATACGTGTAAAATGTAAGCATGCGGTTTATAGATAAGATATTAGGCAAAGAGAAGAACCGAGAGCAGCTGTCAGCTGTGCACGATGACATCACACATAAGCTGAACATGGTTAACGAACATAATAATTAAAAAAGATAATGATGTAAAATACATACCCCGATAGAGATGCAATTATCCTCACCACCAGAGGGGAATTTTACGATAAATTTCGAACCAGCTTTTTCTTCGGAGTCGTTCAAAGGTCGAAATCTACAGACTACCTTAATACTGTCCTCCGCGGCAATCTCACGCTCTCTTGGCGTCTCCATTGCCATATTTTGGTAGCTCGAATTCGTGAGACGAGTTCCTTAGTTCTTCTAATTAGCCACACTTAAAAATGATTTCCAATCTCTCGTAGGGTGCATAGGCGATGAGATGGTCGCGTGAACCACATGAAGAACCACTACCGTCTCTCTGTCACAAACCACAGCCCGTTTCGGAGCCAGTAAAGATGGCTGCCGTTGTTCGATGATTTTGCGGGTGGATTGATTTGCGTGTGCAAAAGTGAGAATCAACGATTGTACTTATATTAGATTGAAAAAAGAACATGGACAATAAATAATACGCGACGATCTTGTTTCCTAATACATTACTACTCTATGCTAAATCTGAAAATGATTTTTTTTAATACTTGGTTTCCTAAAAACCAATCGATGAGAAGTCTAGACAAAGTTTAACGCAAACGCGTCGAACTAAATGTGCGCGCGCGCTGTACGACTTGCCTCTTTGCGCATATGAAGCAGCATTGTCGGCGGATATCATGCGTTCTCAGGGCTGTAACTTGCGTGGGCGTCGCTTCTTATATTTTTTCAAATTATTTTTCTAAATATTTTATTAAATATTTAAAATATCAAAATTTTATTTTAATAATCATTTTTAATTTATTGATAATATTTGTAAATCATTCGTATTTTGAACAGTGACTATAATATTTAGACTATTTTATGTATAGTTTTTTTTTACGTAATAAATTTAACAAAAGTTAATTTAAATTTGTTTAAAATTTTTATTAATTTTAAATTGAATCTAAAATTTTTAACTATTTTCTTTTAAATAATAATAATATTTTATTTCTCTCAAAAAGTGAAATAATAAGAATTATTAAATAGCATATTTTTGCATATTTGCATATTTATATATTATATATAAATTATTTTTAATAAAAACACTATATTTATATAATGTTTTTGATATTGTTAAAAAATTAATTTCTAATCTTTCTACCAGATTCATACTTTAGGAGGTACATATATTTTTATTATTTCATTCAATTACTATTTCATTCAATCACATATTAATCTAGGATATAAAATTAAACTTTAATATTATCATAATACAATATAAATACATATAAAATATTGATTTTAAATTTTATTTATTTTTTAATATTNATATATATTATAAATATAATATATATATATATTATTAATAATATATACAATAAATATATACATACGTATAAAAATATGTATATAACTATACATATTTTTTATTTAAAAAAAAAGAAATAACTTATAAAATACTTATTATAAAATATTATTTTAATATAAATGATATATGAAAATCAAAATAATTATAATAATATTAAAAATATATTTTAAAAACTTGATTTTAATTCTTAATTGATTTTTTTTATATTTAAGTACGATACTGTCTTCTTTACCCTCATTATTTTTGTTCTTATATCCTGTCATGACCTTCATAACCTGACATTTATTGATTTAAACAGATTTTGTACTATGCGTATGCATAGACTGCAGTATCAGTCATTTGTCATATTTTTATTAAATAAATATTTATTGAAAATCTTATATTAAAATAATAAGTTCTTATATTTTTTAAAATAAATCCGTACAATATAATATCAAATTTATGATGTAAATATAATTTCTATCATATATTGCATTTCTATTGTATATTATTGTAATAATGAATACATGCGAAATTATTAAAAACTTTATTGATCAATTTTTCTTATTAAAAATGATCCATCAATTCGATTTTATATAAAAAACTTTAAATAATAGTTATCGATCATTACATATTTTTTAATTATTTTTTAAAATATCTTTAAAAAAATAAAGGATACTTAAAGTTTTTTTTACTTAATGTGATAAATAATATATGAATTTATATGTTAACAAATAAATATATAATTGTAAAATTCTTTTTAAAATTTTTCCAAAAGACTAATCATTAAGTTTCAAATTTTTCAGAATATTTTATTTCTTGTAATTATTCTAATTATTATTAATTAAAAAACATAGTTATTTTTACATGAAAAAAGTTTGGAAACTATATATAAGGAAAGAATAACAATATTTAATGTAACATAACAAAAGAGGCACATTTTATTTTCTTTAACAATAAAGTAAAGAATCTCACACACTCGTGGTTCATTCTAAATATTGTTTTCTATGATTATAATGTCCAAAACTTATACAATACATACTAAATACTATAATTTGCCATGCTATATGACTAGTTTACAGACATTATAAAGTGCAACTTATTTTCAACAATCACATAATATAGTTATTTCCATTTAATAAATATTATTTTTATTATTATTATTATATTAATGTTATTATTATTATTTATCATTATCATCACACAAAATCAGACAATCATTTAAATAAAATTTTAAAAATAAATAATATACAAAAATGATTTTATATTTTATATTTAATAATGTAAGTTATTTATTTTATCCATGTTTATAAATATTTAATATTTCATTGTAAATAATTTGAATTCTATAAGTAATTTTATTAAATTATTTTTTAATGCAATTTTACATCAAAAAAAGTATAAATAAAATTTTATTAGTTTTTGCAAATTACAAGAATCCATATATTTTACTTCATATATGTTCTTTTTTTTTATTTTAAGATAAGAAACGACTAAATGATTTATAGACAAAAATTTTTTATACTAAAATCACAAAAGATTAAAGTTCAAAAGCTAGAGTAAATTTTGAAGCATAAGAATATTTAAATCACAATTTTTCAAGTAATATAGCATAAGAATATTTAATTCACAATTTTTCAAGTAATATAATATTATAATATTTTTGTAGAATAAGTTTTTTTAAAATTAGTTTTAAAATATTAAATAAATGAAATTAATATTTTATGTATCAAATAAAATTCTGTAAAATGTATTAATATATTAATATTAAATATGAAAGAGACTGAACAATAAGTTATTATTCATATTACTTTCATTAATTTTATATTTTTCATATATTATTTATATTTTTGTTACCTATTCATTAACTTCAAATAATTTTTATTTAATAAATTTAAATTGAAATTTTTACCTTAAGCTGAAGATAAATAATATAAAACATATTGAAAGAATATTTATAAAACTGTATGATATCTTATAAAAAGATATTTTTAAATATATAATAATAATTTTTTGCTTTATAAACATTCTTCTTATTTCTTTACATAATTCAAAATTAATTACGAAAATATTAAATCGATATGGAATGTCCAAAAATATTGAAGAAATAACTGCATAACTTAATATTTAAAAATATAGACTAGAAATCAGTATACCTATAAATTAAAAAAACAATAGAATAGTTGCATTATATATTTTTGTAAAAAACGATAAAATGCGATATTAATTTTTCAAGTTTTATAAAAAATTCAAAAGAATATTTTTATAAAATATAAAGAAAAGAAATTTTTTGTTTTTCTAAAAATTACATTAAAATAAATACAAATAAATCAACTATTCTTGCATTTCAAATTTAATTTTGCAATTTCAAATTTAATTTTTGTTCTATACCTACAATATGTGTGTGTGTATTCTTCCAACATTTTCTATAACCATCAGTATTTGAATAAAAGTAATTGCATATATCTATATCTAAGTATTTTTTTTTATAATGTATTAAATCTATAATTTTTATATAAGAAATGTACTGCGCGAATTATTATTTAATTTTAATATAAATAGATTACAGCAACATGTATACAATATTTAAAATTTTCAAAATATGCGCAACACTGTTTCTATTAAATATATACATTTTGATACAGTTTTGATTGTAGTGATTTTAAAAATCCAATCACGAGTTTTTAAATATGAGAATAATTAATGTACCTTTAAATCCAATAACACTTCATTCATAATATGATATTTTTCTTATGCACTTGCTGTAATCGTAACAAATTGTTTTACTCTATTCCAAAAGTATTTGTTTCTTCTACAGCCAATAAAAGCTTTTCATATAAAATTTCAGGTGTAGGATATGGTGGAAGATCCAAACGATTGAAGCATGTATGAGCTCTGAAAAATATCTAGTTTAAAAAATAATATTACCAAATAAATGAAACAATATTATCAATAAATTTAAAAATTATCAACATCATAGTAATTACAGTTTCCTAAAATAATTTTATTAAATTATTTTCAAAATAAAAATATTTATACCTGGGTAAACTATTTGGTCTTCCCCATTTTTCAATGCAAAATTTCCGTGGTCCTGTAGATCCACGTAAAGCTGCAAATCCTTCATATGGAATGCTTGATGTACCAGTAACAAACTGTAGTAATCTTAATCGTTGTTCATTAGTAAATCGACTTATACTGCTCCAAAACCATTCTACTACTGGATGAGCATCATGATAACCACTTCTGTATTCTGTATGTGTCCTCCAATCATTAAGGTCAATTTCTGCTGCTCCAGCTATTACTAATTCCAATTCTCGTGCATCAAAAACTGATACTAATCGTGGATCTACAACTTCATAAAATCCACGAACTAAAGATTCTGTTTGTTCAGCAATACCACGCTCGAGTCTCCAACGTACAACTCTTTCAAGATATTCTTTCTTATTTTTCTCTGTAACAGCAATATTTCTACCTCCTGGTTTTAATTCACGTTCAGCTACTCGTCCAAGAAGTTCCTCCGTGACCGAAAAAGTTAATTCCAATGGTTCGATACTTATATCTCTTTCTTTAATCCACATTAAACTTTGATGGAATTCTTGATCTAAACTTTCTAAATCACTTAAACTTGCTGGTATTCTCAAAAGAGCTTTATAAAATGGTCTCGTAAAAAAGGCATCTAGCAAATATTGATGAACTAAAGCTAAACCTAAGACTCTGCCTGAAAATCTGAACCAATCATGATAATTATCTACGAAAGCTGACATTGGCGATACTTGTACAGTATAAGTATCGTTAGCAGAATATTCGAATAATCCATAATAAGGATTAAAAAGTTCTCGCGATAGATGAAAGAAAAATTCACGGGATGGACCACCATAATCTACACCTTCTTCCTCATCAAACATAATTACTAATTTACTTTTTTGTAAATCCTTTTTTGAAGCAGCCATAATGCGAGTAAAAGCATCTTCTAAAAAATGTTCTCTTCTAATATGCAATCTAAATAAAATATGAAAAAAATATATAACATAAAAAAATATGAAATATAAAATATAACTATAAAAAGTATAAAAATATATTTATTTAAATAAATATACTTTTATACTTTTTATAGTTTTTATCATAAACTCTTACTTTAATTTTCCTGGACCTTGTCCATATCCTTTACTTTCTAATTTCCTATAAAATGTTCTAAGTTTAGCTTCAAAATCTCTTCTGTAGGGAGCTGGAGCTCTAGCAGAAGCTCTTGTTAAGCCAGGCGAAGCATGCGGACTACCTAATGGAGATCTGCCAACGTTTCCAGGTACATATGACATAATTTCTTGTTCAAATAAGCTGTAATAACAAATTCAATATTTATATCATTTTATTCTTTATTTCATTCAAAACTAAGATTATATTATACCTTAATAATAATGCTAGAGGTACATCATGTCCTAATCGTTGTAAAGCAGTTGTACCTTCAATTCGTATTGTATTTACTTTTTCTCGAAGTGCAATATTTTGCCCCAATGCTGAATGTCTTTCTTTTAAAATATCCATTATATTAGGTTGACGCAAGAAAGCAACAACTTTGTCATTATAAGCTACGGGTATATCTGGTATAGTTGTGATAGCTGATTGTTGAGGTCTAGGTGGTGGTACTGGTGCTTCATCTATTAATGTTCGTATGTGAATTGATTCAGTAGGCAATCTTGGATCAATAAAAGATGTTGCTTTTCTAGCATGACAAATGAAAAATCTCTGAAAATATGATTATTAAAATAATGTTTTACTTTCACAAAGAAAATTTCTAACAAATAAAATTTTTAATCATAATATATTTACTTTGCCTGTTCTATCAAGTTTTGATTCATAACCTCTTGGAAGTTCTTTAGCTGAATCAGCAAAAAAATTTATTAATGCTACCAAATCTCTGTTATGTTCATATCTTGGAAATACTGCAGTATCTCTTCTAATTTTACTAATCATATGTTTTAAACTAGGATTACGATTATATAATTCCACTGCTTCTGCATGGCTATGTAATACTGTGAAAAAATCGGGCCTTGTTAAAAATAATACTGGAGGACTCATACTGATATCAAATGGTTCAGTTTCATTTCTTTCAATTCGTTCATTCGCCCGTTCAATATTCTCGAAATTATTTCCATTTGTATGTTGTGAACTAGATGGTTCACGATCAATATTGTCAGGTCGAGAAATGGTTCGACGAACACTTTGATAACGTCTATCTAATTGCTGTCTTCGAAGATCGCAACCAGTGTTTCGTGTTGTTAAACTAGGTCTCTGCCAAGTTGTCGTTCGATTAATATGATCTATATAGAATACCCGACCATGACTGTCGATTCTTGCTTCCCATGCTGCAATAATAATGTAAAATTTATTTTCTTAATTAGATTATGTATATAATGTTATAAAAAGTTATGATAGATTTCTTACATGGAGGCAAAGGTTCTTCAGATGATAATGGTACATTAGATGTTTGGCACATCGGTAAAGGACGTAATGGCTTCGGACGATGTGTAGGTGTTGGTGGACATTCTAATTGATTTGTTAAACTGGATATTGGTCTTTCTAATGGTCTAGGTGGTCTTGGTGAACTCAACAGCGCTATACTTTTTGTAACAGCTCTTCGCGACTAAAATATTAGATATTTAAATATTTAATAGTTCAATATAAGTTAAAAAAAGAATTAATAATAATAATATAATAGCATTATACAAATATAAAAAATTTTATATAAGATATATAAGACATTAATATTTATTTTACGTATAAATTCTAAAATTATATTTATTATAATGTATATTTATTGTAATTTATTGTAATTAATTGTAATGCATACATTTTATTAAATTACCTTTGAATTAGAAGCTTCATCAACATCTACGATTTCAAATCCAAAACAATCTTCAGGATGCAAAGGTGCAGAATATTTTTGAGGATGTCTTTTAGGTAATTCTGGTGGACCAGTTGGCAAAGCATTACTTCTATGCAAAAGTTTGTGAGTTACCCGTGGTGGTAATGGTGGAGGATTTGGATATAATGTTTCGTATAAACCTTCAGGAAATGAAAAGCCTTCTGTACTTCGCCATAACTGATAATATTCCACACCTTCTTTTGTTACAATACCATTTGTATCACATGGTCTCTGAAGTAAAAAATATATTTCATAAACTTTAATTTTAAAACAATTTTAATTTCAATATATTTGATACTAAAATTTAATTTATAAATTTGAAGGATTGTAATATTAATCTATTTACAATTGTGGAATAAAAATTACATATATTATACATGCACATATAAAAGTGCAAAGAAAATTATATATTAAATAAATTTAAATATATTATAAATATAAATAAATTTGCATATGTTAAATATGTTAAATATTTATCATTTGATTCAGTATAAAAAAAAAATTAGATAGATAAATAACATTAAACATTAAAAATAATAATAAAAAGCTAAGTTATTTATTGTATTATGAATTCATATAATAATAAATTTTTGAATAAAATAATTGCACCTTTTTGGTCCCATTATGACCTAAGATTGCTTGCTGTGATTCTGTATCAGAATTGCTTGCATCACTACTATTTGAAGAACGCGGTTCTATTTCAATGCCTTGTGCTTCCTCTAAATGATTTTTTCTAATTGATGGTTCTAATAATGCTACAGCATTTTCTTCCAGCTCAGTTTGTTGAGCACTGGCAGTTTCAGATAAATTTTCTAAAATTGGCAGTTTAAATGGTTTCTTTATAATATCATTACAATGTACTAAGTCTGTCAAAGTGTTCTGTGATTTTGGCACACTTTTAGACATATGTGAACTACCAGCTTCATTTAATATGCCTAAATTTTCATTTGTATTCTTATTATTATTTTCTGTAAAATTTAATGATTTATGTGCATTAGCAATATCATTACTATGTGTTTCATTTATCGAAGTACTTAGAAATTGTGATTGTTCATCAGAACTACATGAAGCTACATCTTGTAGAGGTAAACTGCAAGCACCTTTTATATCTCTATTCTGAAATTGAGAACTAAATTGTTGTGAGACATTATCATCATTATTGTTATGTCTGTCTCCTACATTTTGTTCATATTGTGATTCTGTACTACTAGATTGCAAATCTTTATTAAAAAATTGTTTCTTTCTAATCATGTTTTTGGAAGATAAAGGCAGTTGTTCTATAAAACTGTTTATCTTTCCAGAACTACTATCTACACTTGCCAGAAAACACTTTTTTCTTGTTAAATTTTTATGAGACAATAATATATGTTTCTGATTTGAATTATGTATAATTTCATCATTCAATATATTTGGAGCAACAATAATATTATCAGTTTCACATCTTGCTGGTAATACTGCTATACTAGCAGATTTGGAAATTATATTTTCTTTATTACATGTTGATTCACAACATGCATTTGATTCTTCATGTAAGTTCAATTCTTGAATATTACTTATTTTATTAATTACTTCTTCAGAAGATGCTTCTTGTTGCTGCAAACCATTTTCATTTGATGCACAGATTACATCTGATGACAATGAAGCATTTTCATTTTGTTCTATAAAATCATTTTTAACACTAGACATAAATATTTTTTTATTACATTTTTTATTACTACTTTTTATAGTAGTAGTTTCCACATGATTTACCGTAGTTGAAGATCCTTCATTTATTGTGTCAACTGTTAATAATGTAACAGATTGTTCTTCAGATTCATTTTCTTTATTATCTTTTTCACAAGCTATATTTTTAACATTAATCTCAGAGGGCATGTTTTAAAACATAGTACCAATCAATTATATTTTTCTATATTGCTGTAAATGGGAATATATCAAAATTTATATAATAGAATAAATAATAATAAAATTATAAATAATTATATATAATAAATTGATATAACAATACAAACAATAAAAAAAAAGAAAGTATGTCAAGTGAAATTAAAACTATATTTCATACAATTTCTTATATAAAATATATTAATTTTTATTTTTTTTCAAGAACCTACGATAATAAACAATATTAAAAAAATTTTTTAATTTAATGTATATATAATAAATATTCGAATGTATATCAGTTTACGGTACAACTATCGCAAGTCATGTAATATTCTGTATTTGGTATTTGAAATTAATGTCATTTAAAATCATTATCATTAAATATAAAAAAAAATTTGCTATATTTAATTAAAATAATAAACAAATAAATAATTTATGATATAATTTCAAAGGAAATAATTTATTAATATTTTAAATTTTTATATAAATTAGAAACATCATATCATATTGAAATCTTAATATATTGGTACTTTTTACCTGCATATGTTACATTATTTTAAGTATTTTAAACGAAAAACTCCGGTAAAGCCATTTTATGCCACATTTATCCGTTCACTTTTCTTGCTCATTACACAAATTCATTACAGAACGCGTTGCCTTACTTTGACAGAAAGATATAGCAGACTGTATCTGGTAACTTTTCGTAATGTCACATATATTGGATTTTTATATAGTAGATTGACTATTTGCTTTGACATATGATTAAAAAACTATTATTTATTATTATTATTCTATTATTTATCTATTACTATTTTATTATTTACAAATAAATTAAAAATGTTTTAAATTTTTTATTTTATTTTCTAATAAATATTAATATTTAATTTTGTATTATTATGAAGAATAAATAATATATATATTTCATATATTATATATATATATATATATAGATATATATTATATATATATTATTATACATATTATATTATATTTATATATTTATAAAATTATATATATATATATAATTTATATATATTTTTTATTTTTATAAAATAAGGTTTTGATTTTATATAAGAAATACAAATTAATATTTGAGAATAAAATTTTACATAGCAATAATACTAAAATTATTTATTAGATATTTTTATATAATATAAATATAAAAATAGACTGTAGAATCTTAATAAATATTATACAGTGCGTTTAATGAGATATTATTGTACATAAATAAAATTATAAAACTAACAATGAATTTCCAATCTTAAAATATTTTCTATTTAAAAATGTATTATTAAAATAATCAAACTTTTTAAATTAAAATAAAGAAAAATATGAATTTAATTTGACAAAAAATTTCTTAAAAATTAAAAATACAATTTCATTTACATAAAAATAAATTAATTTAGCGTTCAATCAATATAAAAATATGCAAAAGAATATAGTAAAATCAATAATACTAATTCTGAACAATTCGATAACCAATAACAAAAGTCATTTATTAAATGATATGGTTTATTTTCATTTAGTGACTCGTTTTATAAAACAGACTTTAGGTTCTTCTTATGTTACTAGATTTCCTTTGCATCTTTATTTTTAACTTCCCATAACGATGTTCTATCTGTGGTATTACTATATATATTATTAGTTCATGTTGAACATAACCTTTTTCATTCGGTGTGTAATAAAAGACGGTATGTGAATTATAGAAAATCCAAAAACTGAATGAAAATCATCTATGTAATATAAAACATATATATATTAGTTTAATATAGATAAATAAAGAGTAATTGAATATATTATATTTTTCTTTTAAAATAATTTACTATTATTGTTTTATGATTAACAAATATGTGATGATCTAGGTTATCTTTATATTTTTAATTTCAGTCTTGTAATTCCTTATAAAAATGGCTATTCGTCCAGTATATAGGCCTACAATTGTGAAAAAAAGAACAAAAAAGTTCATTCGTCACCAGAGTGATCGTTATAGTAAATTAAAGGTATATTATTTATTATATTATTCATTATTATTTATGAACTTTTCATTTAGAAATCTTTTTAATTTCGAAAATCTTAATTTGATATAGATATAAATATGTGATGATAAAATAAATTTTTAGAGAAACTGGCGTAAACCTAAAGGTATTGATAACAGAGTTCGTAGGCGTTTTAAGGGACAATATTTGATGCCCAATATTGGTTATGGAAGTAACAAAAAAACTCGTCACATGTTGCCAACTGGTTTTAGAAAAGTTTTGGTACATAATGTCAAGGTAAAAAAAAAAATTAAATAATTTTAATAATTAGTAAAAAATTATAATATTATTCATAAATTAATATTAATAAAATTAGTAAAAGATTATGCATTCTTATTTTCTAAATAAATATATTTTTATATGATATAGATTTTTTCTTTTTCTTTTATTATTACAAAAGATATCTATTTTATTTATTTCTCTGTAAAGAATATTTTTTTATAATAAATTAACTTATTTTTAATAATTATAACAAATGAAATTTATTTTCTTTGATTTATAGGAACTGGAAGTTTTAATGATGCAAAACAGAAAATTCTGTGCTGAAATTGCTCATGGTGTGAGCAGTAAAAAACGTAAATCCATTGTTGAACGTGCTCAACAACTTTCAATAAGAGTAACTAATGCCAGTGCAAGGTTACGTTCTCAAGAAAATGAATAAAAATATTCTTATTTGATTTAATAATAAAATATTTAAAACAAATATTTCTTTTAATATTTGTCCCTTTATAATATAACAAAAATACAATTTTAATACAGCATTTTACAATATTTTACAATATTGAAATCATAATTGATTTTTCCCGTACTTTAAAAATATGACTAACATTTAACTAACATTATTGTAAAAATAAAATGATCGCATATTGTTACAAATAGCAAAGTAAATTTGTAAATAGTTTTTAATTAGTCATATTAGTTATACTATCTCTTTTAAAAATACTGAAATTTTTTATATATTGACAATAAAAAAATTAATTTATTTTTCAAAAACTAATTAAAAAAACCTATTAGAAATTATTTTATGAAATCTTATTTAGTCCATAATTATTCATAATCATAGAAGAGTTATTAAAATTACTTCATCTATAATGAATAAGAATTATATATTTCGAAAAGAAATCTTACGTAAAATTTTTTTGGAAATTCTAAAATAAAAATTTTTGACTTTGACCAAATTTCGATTTTGTATTAGAAAAATATAATTGATATATAACAATATATAACAATTGAAATATAACAAGAGTTGATATGTGAAATTTTTCTAGGAATTCTGGTAGAAATTTTTGTGGTATTATATTATATATTTATATTATTTACTTATTAGTATTTATTTATATATATATTTAATTATGAAATAATTTTTATTTATCTATTATAACTATTTTTTTTTCATGTTTTATATATTATTCTTTTACTTATCTATCTCTTTAGAAAACAATTTTTGGTCATTTAATTAAAGAAACATTTAAAGGTTTTTTGATTATTTTATTTAATTTTAATTATGATATTTAGTATATTTATTTTTTACATATTTCTTTACACTGACATTTTCAAGAACTGAATATTTTATAATTTTTTTAAATCTTATATATTAAGTATCAATCCATCCAAATATTTCAGAAACTATTTGATTATATGAAATTTTTAGTGCCAATTTTTAGTGATTATATGAAACTTTAGAATAATAATACATATAATACAAGTAATATAGATTAACAATTTGTTTATAAAGTATAAATTAATCATTAGATTAAGAATTAGATATAGATTAGATGAAATCAAAATATTGCTTCATTATTTTCATCATTTAATCATATAAATTATTTTGTCTGTTATTACTTTTATCATTATAATTTTATCATAAGAAGAATATAATAATATATAAGAATATAATAATAATATAACTAAGTTTATATTATATTATTTTCTTACAAATGAAAATATATATATATAGAATATTCCAAAAATATAGGAATATCAATTAACCAGATATTCCTAAATTCAAGCAATATTTTTACGAAAATTTTATGAAATTATAATTTTGTTAACGAATTATTAATAAAAAATAAAAAACGGAGCGCGTAATCAAGCCGTAATGTTGGATACATGTCGCTGATTAAACACGAATAAATTCAAATATATATTGAAAAAAATCTGTTGAATATAATAAATATTTTTTTATTAAAAAGAAATTATCGATTTATTTTTTATTAAAACAACAATATTATTTTTATTTTATTAAACAATGAATAAATTAATTAATTGCTATTATCGTTCTATATTTATCCTTCTTTGTTATTCTTTTTTTTTTTTCATTCACATTCTCTTGTCTCTATTGCCGTCAGTCTTCCATTGCATCTTTTTCTTCCTTTATCATTCTCTTTCTTTTTTTTATCCCTTTTTTTATCCCTGTTACTTATCTCCTTTATCATTTTTCTTCTCCTTTCTTTATCACTTACCTTCTGTTGTCCTTAGCTATCACATTCTTTTTTATGATTTTCTTCTTTCTTTCTTCTTTGTCTTTTTCCTTTCTCCTTTAATCATTCCTTTATTTTATCATCTTTCTTATCCATTTTTTATCATTGCACTCTTTGTTATTTTCTTCTGAATCTCTTTTGTCATTTTTCTCTTTTCTTCTTTATCTTCTTCCTCTTATGCTTCTTTATCGATTTCTCTTTCTTTTTCTTTTATCAATTCTTCCTTTTGCGTTGCTTTATCATTCTCTTCCGTTTATCGTTATTTTTATTACTCTCTCTTCTTCTTTTCTTTTCCAAATATATATTATTTATTGTTTATTTGTTAGAAATATTCTATATATGTATTTTTATACAATAATTTGACATTATTCGTTTTAAATGGTGAATAAATTTAATTAATAATATACACGATATATAAAAAAAATATTTATAAAGCATATATATTATATATGTTGGTGTATTTCTTTTTCGACTTCAGTTCAAAGAAATCAATACAACATGCAAGAAATTTTGTATTTTTTTAAAACTGGATTAAATATTTTATATTTATTAAATATTGTATTATTATTATTGTAAAATTTTATGCGTAATACAATATTTTTATTATAAAATGTAGTATAAATTAAACATTTTATTTGTAAAGAAAAATTAAAATATAAAAATTATTTATATTTTTGTTAAATTTAAACTAAAGTCGTTTATTGGTGATACAAAAATATTACGAATATCAAGATCACCTTTGCATTTAGAATTTAATGAAATTTCATAACTTTTAATTATAGTAATCAAAGCAATAAGCGATTGCAGTTGCCCAATTCGAGCTCCTATAAGAAATATTTTATTATAATAAATATTAGTGAATATTATAGTAAATATAATAATAATAAATATTAATAATATTGTAATAATTTTATAAATATCAATTTACCAATGCAAATTCTTGGTCCCTCTCCAAATGGCATATATGTACATTGCTTGATATTTTCTTTATTTTCATCACTAAATCTATCAGGATTAAAACGGAGAGGATCTGGATGATATTTTGGATCATAGTGAAGTGCAGTTAGAACTATGAAAACTGATGTTCCTTTTTCTATGACTATATCAGTTCCTGGTATCTAAAAAATATAAAATAATTGTTATTCTATGAAAAATAATTGTTTTATTGCTATTTTAAATCAAATATTAAAAAAAAAAATTAATTTTTGTAAGTCAGTCAAAAATATTATTTGATATAAAATTTTATTAATTTTATTAATTCGATAAAAAGAAATAAAAAAAATTGCTAATTTGTTAAATGAATGTTATATAACGAATGAAAATTGCAGATATGTATTTTGTTATTGCAAATCTTACATATATAAGAATATTAAAAGATATTCAGATAGCATGTAAATAGACTTTTAATAGCCTTTTAACAGTGAAAAAAATATTTACATTTTTTTTCATGAATCTTTTATTATTCAAATTCATGCATTATTTATTATATTTTTCATTTGTGCAAGAAAAAGAATAATTATAAAATCAAACGAATTAAACATAAAAATAAGTTTAAAATAATTGGAGAAAAAAGAAAATATATTTGTATAGATATAGATATGACAAAAAAAAATTTATTAATGCGATGAATTTTCATTATGAAACATATTTATAAATAGATACAGATCAATTTATCTATTATGTTTGCTTGATTATATAATGCTTCGATTACGTACTTACTTCGTTTTATTAAAAAAATAATATATAATAAAAATTTTAAAGAATTACTAATGAAAGTTACAAAAATATAAATATTTCATATAAATTTGACAAATAAATTTTTAAGAATTAATTTTTTAAAATATATATGTATAAAATAATATCAATTCTTGACATTTTAATTCTTGGCTCACCTTGTAATCCTCCACGGCAACTCGATCGATAATTGGAGCCGGAGGATAAAGTCGTAGAATTTCTGATACAACTTGATGAAGATATTTCATGCTTTGAACACCTTCATAAGTCATTCCATGTTCCTTTAATTTCTTATTAATCTCTTCTCGTGTTCGTTTTTGAATTTCTGGATGTTTAGCTAGTTCATAAAGTGTGAAGCATATAGTTGATACACTTGATTCGCGTCCAGCAACGAAGAAAATTGCTGATTGACTTAACAATGCATCACCCTCGAATTCTATATATAATAATTATAATTTTTAATAAAATAAATAATATCAAATATTTGAATCATTAATATAAAATACTTATCATACTGAAATCTTTATCTTGTTTGTCATTTTTCAATTCTATCAAAGAATCAATTAAATCTTCTCGTTTATTTTTAGTTATTTCTCTACTATCCATGGAATCCCAAAATACTTTACGAAAGAAATTTGTCGAAGTTCCTAACATTCTAGCATTCAAATATGGCGAAAGTTTTGGAAAAAAAAACGAAATCATTAACTGAATGCCACGAAAAAATGTCATTTTGAGTCCTTTTTGAGCTTTTAAGAGAACAAAGAAATATAATGAGGTAAAATTATCACATATATATATAAATATATATGAAAATAATATAATCTTTCGAACATTTTTTAATAAATACCATTTTCATAAAATTGTAATGTTTCAGGATTGAATGAATTTACTTGAATTCCAAAAGCAATAGAAGATATGACATCAGTGGTATATTTTAGAGTAACATCTTTCATCATAATAGTTTTCGTTTTCGTGCCATTTGAAAATTCGTCATCTAAATATTTATTCATCGAATTGGCAGCTTCAACCATTAAATGGAACAATTTTTTTACTTTTGCACTACTGAATAACGGTGATAATTTAATCCTAATAAAAACATCCATTAATAAAATCAATTATTTGATATTTCTAATAAATATATATTTCTAATAAATATATATTTCTAATAAATACCATTTCGATAATGATTTTTAAATGTATTTACCTTAAATATTTCCATTGAGGATTCTTCAATGTAAAAAGACTTGTATTTCCAATTTCGTCTTGAAATGATCGAATCGTAAAACTGCGATTCGGAAAATAATTGAAATCTTTAATTAAGATTTGTTTCATTATTGCTGGATCTTTTATCAATAAGAATGGTTTGAAAAATATGTAAATTCCAAGAATGCCATCGTTTTCGGAACTTTTTTGGCATATATCACCTATTACGTAAGCAGGAGGTTTTTCTAGATCTAATATCTTTTTTATGTTACCGAATAACCAGTGTCCAGGTACAACAGGAACACCTCTTCTTTGCCAATAAGTGCGATTGTACTTTATATATAAAATCAAGATTATCACAAGGAAGGCAATCGAAGTAACAATTGGCATAAATAATGAATTTAGTATTGCCATAATTTAATAAGTTGATGCTTCTAACTTTCTTGAAAAACTGAAGAAAGATAGAAATATCACGTACTTATATAAGTAGTTTACTTCAAAATTAAAAAGATAATAGATATACTTTGTTTCATAGCATAGTGCATACATATGTATATATATATTATATTTCTCTTTGATTCTTATTTATATGATTTATGTTTCTATTTACTATTTATATTTTTATTTCTATTATTTTCTAATATTATTTCTATAATATCTAATATTATTTCGTAATAAATGTATTGAGATGGATAATTATTAAAAATTATCCATTAAATCTATTATTTAACTCATTTTTTTATTTATTACTCATTCTTTGAACTTTGATTAATCCTTATCGTAAAAACATTATCTTTATCTTTATATATAATCATCGTGAATGAAAAGAAATATTTGAAAAAAAAAAAATAATACAATAAATGCAATATGTATATTTTTTTTAAATATTTAGTTTTTTTTATGATAATATAAAATAAATAATAAATTTTTGTATATATTAAACAATTTCTTTTATGTATATAATACATACAATGTAGTTGAATATTGACTCATTGATTTTTTTCAAAATTTGAAGCATGAAATTATTTAACTTTGAAGAGTTAGTATTAAGTGTATTATTAAGACTATTATATTATAAAATAATCAATATACAGACATACATCACATTGCAAGTAACTTGTTATGAATTTGAAAAATAATATGATTTCTTTTTAAAATAGATAAAAATATAACAACATAAAATAAACTTGAATTTAAAAAAAAAGATAAAATTTCCTTATCAATTTAATGTTATTTTTAAAGTTAGAATAAGATTTGCAATTAATAATAATTAAATTTCAATAAAAAATTACAATTAAAAAATAGAATAAATATTCTTCAGATTTTTTTAATTTATTTTGGAATTGATATTTATCTCAAATTAAATGATTATTAACATTAATTCATAAATTAATCCCAATAAATATAAAAAATAAAATATAAATTAATGATTAAAATTAATATACTAGACTATATTTTCATTAAATTATTTTATATTTTTATTTAATTTATTAGAAATTATTTAAAATAAAATTATTGGAATTTAAAAAATAATATATATAACATAATGTATTTATAATATTTATACATTTTAATTTTGAAAATGAAGTAATGAAAGTTTGATATTTTATTTGTGATTACGTATCAATATAAACAAAGAAAATAAACAGTAAGACAAGGACAGAGAAAGATAAAAATATTGAAATCAGCGCCATCTTCAGAGTGCCGCAAATGAAACTTAGATAGAAAGAATAAAAAATAATAAGAGAAAGATGGAAATAGGTTAAGAATTAACTGCCAATGCTATCTCTTGAGTTTCAAAAAAAATAAAATAGAATAAGAATTGACTACCAATGCCATCTCTTGATTGTCAAAGATATTTCTTTAAAAATAGGATAAAGTAGAGTAAGAATTGAATGTTAGCGCCATCTGTTAATAATATATTTTTTCAAAAACATTCAAGAGATGGCATTGATACTCAATTCTTACTCTACTTTATCCTATTTTAAAGAAGTGTCTTTGAAACTCAAGAGATGGCATTGGCAGTTAATTCTGAACCTATCTCCGTCTTTCTCTTATTATTTTCTATTCTTTCTATCTAAGTTTCATTTGCGGCACTCTGAAGATGGCGCTGATTTCAATATTTTTATCCTTTTCTGTCTTTGTCTTATTATTTGTTCTCTTTGTTTATGTTGACACGTGATCACAAATAAAATATAAAATATATATTCAAAATTATTTGATAATATATGTAATCTAATTACTGCTTTTTATTATGATATGTATATATGTATAAAGTAAAAATTTGAATGTATGATAAATAACATTATTTTTCGATAGTAATAAGAAAATTATCCTATATTTATATACATATATATAATTAGAATATAGATAAATAATCATATAAAAATACTACAATCACATTTGTTCACAATTTTTATTCACTAACATTAATGCGTTTACATTAATACTGCACCTTTGTTGTAATAACAACAATAATAACAAATAATTAAAATATTATAATTTATTTTCAATCGCATTATTTTCAACGCATCATAAAAATGATTGATTAAAAATATATCTATATTATAGTACATTTAATATAAATATTATATTAATCATATAATGCATTTTTAAATATAAAATGCAATGATGTTTGATGTGTTTTGTTGAACATGAATGATAAATTGAAAAAGTATTTATCTTATATTTCATACTTTCGTAAAATCTATAAACAAATTAAAAAATAATGATGTAATTAAGAAAACCGTTGTTTAACAACTTTGCATATAACAAAAAGGACTACCATTATATTATCAATAAAAAATAATGGTAATCCAAGTTGTATTAATTCATTTGAAATATAAATAATATATATTATTTAATTTGTTTTATGTATCCTCTTTCTTTTAGGAGATCGTCTAACGCTTCTTGAGTATAATAAACGACAAAATCAGTTGATGCAACACCTTCAAATACGGCATAAACCGAAGGTTTTAAATTATAGAAAAATAGTGGTTGGCCCCTTGATGCAAAATCTTTTGTTAAAGTTTCAATTACTGTGGCTGCAGTAAAATCTGCCCCATAAATATGAGAACAATCGATTACAACTGGTGTCGCTACATTCCCTGTTCTTTGACTATATTTTGTTACTAAATTTCGCACATAATCAACAGATGGAAAAATTAAACATCGATCTGGAGTTAACATAAGATATCGAATACCATGTCGAGACTGAAACAATAATATTTAATTGATACATTAATATTATTATAATATTATAAATAATTAACTAATAAATAATTAAAAAACTATAAATAATATAGAAAAGTAGTTGAAACAAATATTTATATAAAATTAAATTTTTAAAATAAATATTATGTAAAATACAGAAAAAATTAAAAATATATACCATAAGTTTTTCCACGGATATTTTTGGTCTTGCAGCATGATATAAAATAAACAAAATATTTATTCCAATACCACATAAAATTCCAATTTCTAATTGTAGTAATAAACATGCAATGAATGTTCCTAAACCAGGAATTAAATCTGATTCTATAAAAGTATAATATTATATAATTAAAATACATATTAATGTTTCAAAAATACTGAAAAATATATTTTTTAAATTTTAAATTCTAAATTTACTTTTAGTTCTCCACATTGGTTTTACGACTTTAACTTCGACCATAAATATTACTGCAGCTATAATGATTGCTGCTAATGTACACCTTGGAATATAACTGAAATATGGAGTGAGAAAGAGAAGAGCTAATATTACTAAAGTACCTAAAAATAAAAAAAATAATTATATCAAATTTATATAAAATATAATCGTATAAAAATAATATGGATTATTAATTGACAATTATAAAATATTTTAGTTAGATGATTAATAAAATAATTATTACCAGTATAAATGCCTCCCATTGGTGTTCTTACTCCAGAAGCATTGTTTACCGCACTTCTACTAAGAGATCCTGTACCAGGAAACGCCTGAACAAAAGAATTACCAATGTTTGATATTCCAATTGCTATTAATTCTTGTGTTGCATCAACTGATTTTCCAGTTGCTGAAATAAATATAAAAACCTTTCCTTTTTTCCATATTCCACAAAACAATACTAATATTTTATGAAAAACATTTGTAATAAATAAAAAAAATATTAGCTTACAGAATGCTTTGCAAATAGCAATATCTTCCATTAAAGAGATAAGCGGTAAAACAAGAATACCGCTACCTAAATTTGAAATCATATCTACAAATGTGACTGTTGTATTATCGTATTTGATATAACTAAATGATGGTGGTTGTATATTTGGCATACCTTCTGGTATATATCCTAGAAGAAGATATTAATAAATTCAATATAATTAATAATTATATTTAATATACAATATATTTATATTTATATATATTAATAAAATTTAAAATTTTGAAAATGTTAATCTTAATATTTATTGCTCTTACCAACCAATTTGAAGAGTGATTTTTTTCTAAAACTATATCCCAAAAGACCAGATAATATTACTAAAAGTGCATTTCGCGAGGTACCAAATAACCATATAAATTTATTTAATACTCGATATTTTGTACTTTGCAATTCTTCATCTTTAGGACCAATTGTATACGATGCTAAAAGCTATAAAAAAAAACATGTAAAACTTCTATTAAGAGTGTTATGTAGATAATAATTTTTGTTTTATATACCCTGAGAAATAAAAGAAGCGCTATACAAGTTACACCAAGTGCGGCATCCCAAGCTGAAGTTTCATGTAAAAGTCCAACGAGACTTTTCCACATTTCAAGAAATTGCGAACCTTTCGCAGGAATACCGAGTATATCTTTTATTTGTGATGTTATAATTATTAGAGCTACTGCTGATGTAAATCCAGAACTTACAGGCCCGGACACAAAATCGATTAAAAATCCTAAAAAGTATATCATTAATAAATTGTATTTAAAAATAAATTCTTTTTTGTAATTTTATCATGAAATATTATTGACATTTACCAAGACCAAATATACCCATTATAAGTTCTATTACTCCAGACAAGAAACAGAGAAGTATCGCATGTTTCAATGGTTCATCAAGGCGTGCAACTGTTTGGTACGTGAGCAGAGAGATGATGGCACTTGGTCCCATCGGTGTATCTTTACAAGATCCGAATATAACATAAATAAAACATCCTAGAAAGCTACCATACAATCCATACTGTGAAATATAATAATAGTATAATTGTTAGACTGATTTTCATAATCATTCATTATAAAATATTACATTGTTTATAAAATATTAATTTGTTTATTAATAATCTTGTTTAATCTGCATTAGTGGACAAGAAATCTCGTTAATAGATATTGTAATAAAATTGTTTTGAAATTGTTTCTTTATGAATCATTGTTCAATATTATACTAACTTGAGGTGGTAAACCTGCTACATTAGCGTATGCTAACGATTGTGGGATTACAGTGAGACCAACGGTGACACCAGCAACGAGATCACCGAGTGCATCATGCCCATTATATCTGGGTAGCCAATTTAAAATTGGCACTCTTTTATAAACAGTTTTCTTCGTACAAACTGATCTACAACGTCGTCTCAATTGATACATCGTGGAATTAAGAAAACTATCTTTTTGTTCCATTCCATAATCTCCAGATTCTTCCACCACTGCAAGAAAGGAAAAAGAAGAAAATAAAATTACTTAATATTTTTTGTTCTATCCAAGTAAACAATTCTATATTAAAACAATTATAAGCAAATTAATCAATTATAATTATCCAAACAGAATGAAAACTTTATTTTTTAATCAGAATTCAAGATCGTTATTTGTGTTAGAGAAATAATTAAAATATGTTATATATATATGTATATAATGTTATACATATGTAAATACAATTAGTTATTATACATTGAATATATTATTAAAATTTATTCATTTTTTTATTTCTTGTTTTAGAATTTATTATCATATATTTATTACTTAATTGCGGATAAAAAGGAATTAAGAATTTAAGTAATTTATATGTATGTGTGTTTATATAGTTTTATATAAATAAACATTTAAATTAGTCATTTTAGCACTGATCTGCTTACGGATAAAATCCGAAGAACCTTGTATTTCTCGATGACTTTCATAAGAATCATGCAGAATTTGAGAACTGTTCGAACGATCAATATCCAAGCTATCCCTAGATCCAGTCAAACCATGATTTATGTATATTTCATTATTATTTTTTTGATTTGTATTTCCTGCACCATTCGGTTTGTTCATTCTGAAAATTCAATATTTCGCGTAAATTACTATAATTACATTAAACAACTGAATAAATTTTTATAAATTAATAAAATTTCAATAATTTTAATTTTAATTTTATATATATATATAAATAATATTATGATAATATAGATAATAGAATAAATATGTATAATTCGTATAAGTATGTAATTTGATAATCCCGTATTTAAAAACGCAAATAAGCTCTTTGAAGAACTCGATAACAAAGAAATTAAATATTATCTTATCTATAATAAATTTTAACACTATATGAATTTTAATCTATTTGATCTATTTAATATAATTTTAATAATTTTTTTTATGAGCAAATATTAAGAATAAAAAAAGAAGAAAAAATAAGAATTTGAAATATAAATAAAAGTAATTGTTAAATATTTTATGATTTAAATGAGATTTTGTAAAAAGGCTTTTATTAAAATTTTCATATCTCTGAAAATATTATAAATATAAAAAAAATTAATATTTACGATTAACATTATATAATTTAAATTTCATTAAACACAATAATAAATTGGAATAAGCCCTAATATATATTATTTATTTATTTAATTATTTATTTATTTAATTATCATTGGTGATATATATTCAATTAGATCATGAAACAACTATTATTTTATTAAATTCATTAAAATTCTTGCATACGTGATTTCTTACACGATTCTCACTTGTGCTTCATGGTTTTTATTGGACTTTATTTAGTCCAATATATGTTATATCAAGTCGATCAACATAACTTGTAAGAACGTAAACAATAAAACTGTGCAACCGTGAACATTATTAATAGCGAAACAGATTACATTCTATTACATATTGAATATGAGAATAGTAGATCAACTTACGATTTCAGATAAGTCACAATCTGACGACGTAACTTACGTCTGCAAGAATTCTTCGATGTGTTTTTTTTTAATTAGTTATATTACGAAACTCAAGTCACATGAATACGCTGCTTAGTTAACGATAAATTATGTTTGTCACATGGATTATGATTTATGATATTATGAAAGATAATTCATTTGCTCAGGTTTTTGATTATGAAGAATATTTGGCAGATAGAAATGTTTCATTGATAATTATATATAATATATCTAGTACTTTGCCATACTTTTAATAAATGTACATCATTAATGATAAAAATTTTATCTATTTAAATAGATAGAGTTATAAAACTAAAAAATTTAAAAAAAATAATTAACATAGAATGCTATTTTCTTAGAAAATTTTTTGATTAAATATCTAAATATTAAAATAAAAAATTATCAATAGGAATGATATTATAACATTAGAATTAATATAAAATTTAGTACAAAATATAATTTTCTAGAAATAAAAAAGTGATTGCAAATACTTTGATCGATTACATATAACTAATTTGTTAATAAGTATATTTACAATCTATAAATACTTGTTCTATTTTCCTTCTATTAACTGATTTAGAAATGTAAATTAGAATTTCGCATGATTAATTGGCGTAAATTAAAAGCAAATATTGAATATTGAATTTAAGACAATTTAAAAAATTACTTTCACAATTTTTTTTTGTAAAATATATTTAAATATTTAAATATTTCAAGTGATATTATATTTCAAGTGTTAATTATATATAGAAGTGAATTCAATGAATCAAACATTTTTTAATTGCTCGATTTTTTGCAATTTTTATTTTTAGATTTGATAATAGATAAAATATTCTTTTAATTCATTGTTTTTATATTTAATATATCAAATATATTAAATCGATATATCTTTTCAATATATCGAATATCAATGACAATTACAGAACACACTAGAAGTTTGCAGAACTTGTTATGCGCTTTCGTCATATCCGTTATATCTTAAAAATTCAAACAAATCAATCAATCAATTATCTCTTATTTATTCTCAAGGTTTTTTTTCAAATAAAAATATTTTATTCTTATTAAATTTTTATACATTATATATATAATATTATATTGTTTATTCTTTTGCATAAAATTGAAATTAAAAATTATGTTATTTAAAATTCTTTTCCTCTAACTAAAATAAAGATGAAAAATCACAATTGAATTAAAAAATGGCCCAAAAATTGATCAGATTTAACAAATTGATAGTCTTTAATATTAAGTTTATGTCAAAATTGATTTTCAACGTTTATATATTTTATTTTTATTGTTGTGAAATTTTGATTCATTTGGTATTAATTTATGGAATGACAAATAATTTAAAAGTATGTAAGTAGTTCGAGGTTCAAGATTGCTTTAACATCAAATAAATTTCTTGGCAGTCACATGACGTTCAATATATTAAGATTCAGTATACATATATTATATACAGTTGATTATAAAAGTATCCAATTATTTAAATATTTCATACTTTTCATACTTTTCAAATATCCAACATTATAGAATTAAATAATAAATAATAAATAATAAAAAATATTTTTAAAAATAAATTATGAGATTTCTTTTTTACCAATATACAAATATATTTCATAAAATATATCAATTATCATAATATTGACTATCATACTTATATGACAAACTGCAAATAGAAAAAAAGAATCCAATTAAATGTAAGTATTCAATTTTGGGATTGAATAAAAGTAAAAAAATTTATATTAAAATTTAAAAATTACATCGAAAAATCTAACCTATCTAGTATTCAAATTAAAGTCACATTTTTATCAATTATTCCATTTCTTTTTTTTTTTTTTTTTTTTTTTTTTTTTAAGAAAAGAAAGAGAAGATATCTTGATTAGAAAAACTGAAAGTTATCAAGTTTCATATTTAATATAATAGATAAAAGTCAAAGAAAATATGAATTTTGCAATCCGTAAATCCATTAATCCACCTTCGCATCTTGGAATGCCTGATTGGCTCGATATCGCGTTTTTAATTCCAGTCAGTTAGGTAAACACCATAGAGACGTAGCCGGGAGGGGAGTGAAACGAAAGAAAAAAAAGAAAAAAAAAGCATTATTACACGAGAACGCGTGTCACATGATTCGCTCATGCAACCGGTCATTCTGTGCAATCACGTGCTTCTGAATCAACTCTGTCACGCGGTTCTCTCGATCACCGGCTCCCAACGTATATATATGGTTAGATATATAGTTCAAACCGCGCGCTCGCAAATTAATTCATCCCAACATTGTTTTTCATGCAAATCACGAATGACCGTGCTTGCTGCCTCACCATCTTGTTTCAATCTTTGCCCACAAAATTATACGATATATGTTAATCGGCCTGTCCCAACTAGAAATTGTTACCATTGCCTTGAAAGTGTAAAAAATCTGTATGCGCTTGAAGGTGATTGTGAATAACTATGTGATACAACCTATCAAACTGGTTCCAATCTCGAGGATTCTTTTGCGCAGATGCAGATATTCTCATTGAAGGGAATAAATAAAGAGACGCCTCCATTTTGTGTACATATTTTTAGTTATACCATTATATCTTGTTAAAGAAAATATCGCTTTTTATTTGATGCAACAGAAAGAAATTATAAAATATTATTACGAAATTATAAATTATAAAATGATATAAATTGTATATATATTATTATATTATTTATATATTATTTTGTAATGGATTAAAACTTGATAACTTGATAATAAAATATTTAAACAATGTAAATTTGAGGATTTTACAATTTATACTATATTTTACAATTATAAAATTGTTCACGTTTTTATATTAATATATTAAAATAAATTTATTTGTTATTGTTATTATCAATATTAACGAATTAATTACGAATTTAAAATATTCAGAAAAAAATATTATTAATTTATAAATTTTTTTATTTATTTAAAACATCGCAAAATAATACTACTTATAATCGTTTTAATTAATACCTAATGAAAAATTAACAAAAAAGAAGAATGAATAAGAAATTTATTTATAATTATTGAACTAATAATTTATAGAATATTTATTTGCTTTTTAAAAAAATTCGTTGTGAAATAAAATTATCTTATAAATATTGATAAAAAGAAGATTGATAAAAAATGAGTTAATGATAAATTTTTTTGCACTTTATAATTAGTTGGTTGTACATTGAAATATAAGTAGAAAAAAACATAATAAATATTCTTTCATTGAAATGAATTGAATTAATTATTTCCTTGTGCATAATAATATCTGAAGCATATTTTATTTTTAGAAATTAGAAACATATTTTCAATCATAAAATCTAAATATATATATATATATTTAATAGAATAAAACAATGAATCAAACATAATTAAAAATAAATTATGATTTAACAAACCATATGCTATTTATGCTCAAGTGATTTTGGTGTATCAATTTTTATTTAGTTTTAATTATTGCTTTTCTATTTGTAATAATCGATATTAAATATGATATATTATTAGTATAAAAACAGTAAATAAAATGAGATATATAAAGAAATTTTATTTTAAAATTTTGTTCCTAACTTTCAAGAATATATATTGTGTGATATGTAAAATTTATGAAAATAAATTAAAAAAGAATAAAATAAAAAAAAATAATATATTTATTTTTAATAATTTACTAATTTTCTTTTTCATTTTTGTTTTTACAAGCAATATCATTGTATTTTTATTTATATTTATTTTATTTATTCAACTCAAGAGTGATATGTAATATCATAATATAATTACTATGTAAATTTCCCCTAAGTAAATCCATGATCATCATCCCATATATTGTATATATTATCATTCGCTATTTTTTTGTGCTTTTTTTCATTTAATTACGATTCAATTTAACTTAGAACATATCCATAAATCTTGTACACAGCAAATGATCTACATTATTTCAGATCTTTAAGATTTAACCGTAAGTTTGTTTCAAAGTCAGATTTAGTTATAAAGCTAAACAAACTGCTCGAATTTTCTTATGTTTTTCTAAATGTTGTTAGATCTATCTATATAAATCTTATTTATCTCTATTATGTTTCTGCTTTAAAAAAATTTTCCTATTCTTTATTATTTTCCCGTTATTTCTCGTTACTAAAATACATTTCTATACTAAAATACAATAATTTTCGCATAGTGAATTTTTTCTCAGATAAGTAACAAATTATCATCAGGAGACACCATTTGCCATTGTGAAAAGAAAACCGAACATCATAATTGCAAACGATCCTCGTCAAGGAAAATATTGATGATTGATGCGCGTACAACAATAATAATAAATGAACAACCGACGGTTTTTCTTTCTTTTGCAAATAAGCTGCAATTTCAAAGTGTCGTCGTCGTTTCGTCTTTTAACTGATACAGAGATCCAACAACGTGTACAATAGAAGTTAATATGCGCTATTCCATGGCACGTGCATCTCGACATCTTACTTAAATACTTAGCTATAGCCAAATAAAACGAGTTCTAAATACTGCAATAAAGATAAATATTACATATATACAGATATGTAAGAAATTATTTATTAAGTACAAAATGTTTGTACTTTCTATATGGAATTCTATCTTTAGACTATTTCTTAAAATGATTATCTTCAAATTAGTGTAATATTTCATTAAGTTTAATTTATAAATTTGATAATAATGAAAAATTTAAAAAACTTATTGATATTTATTAATTTCATAAGAAATATATGCTGTTCTATTATAAGCAATTATTTTTAAAATTATTTCTTATTTTAAAAAAAGTTTCAAGTAGAATTTACAAAAATTTGTAAATTCATTTGTATAATAACTAATTAATTAAGGAATATGATATTTTATCAAAAAAAAGAAAAAAAAAGTATCATATTTTGAAAAATACTATATTCTAGTTATGTGATATATTAAAATTAACAATTGAACAATTGATTTAACATTAAATGATATTAATTGCTTTCATGTGATATTTATTATTGATATAAGCTAATAATTTAGGATTTATATAAAGAACAATAAGAGCTGCATCATGATAGCGAAACTATTAGAGCAACGATAGATCATAGGTTAGATAATACTCAGAACGAACTTCAATCAGTGATGCCGTTAAATTTTGAACTTGATTTGTGTACAATCTTCGATTTATGATATATTAAATTTATAACAAAAAACTTTAAGTGTTAAAAAATTAAAAGATTTCGATATCTAAATGCATAATCTAAAGTTTTCTTTCGAAAAATAATATTAATAAAAAATAATAATATAGGAAATATATATTATAATAAATTAATAATCAAAATTAATTTATAATATAATATAATATATATAAATATTCTAATTATTTTAATTTTGTATTTAAATTTCATTTATTTGATTATTGATAAATGTATGATAAAACAAAATTTTAAAGTAATTATTTTTGAACTTTAGATTTGATATTTAAATCTTTATATTTAAATCTTAATCTTTTTTTTTTTTTTTTGATTAGAAAAATAAGAAATAATGAATTTTTAAATGATAATGCTTTATACATTTAACAATTTTAATTTTATAATTTTTATACAATATGAATCTTAAAATATTTTATTTTATTAACTTATTGATAAATTTTTCATGAAATAATTTGGGCCAAATTTTTGAGCAATTCCTGATGCTTACCAGATAAACATATGTTGGTGATTTCGACATTATTTACATGCCTCGAAGAAGAACGACACAAATTAAACTTGTCGAGTATAAGAGCAAGATCTCATAAAGATAATTAATTGAATCGATCGCGATACAGTAACATTCAATATTTACCTTTTTTCATATAATCAACATTCTTCGTTGATGATTACAAAATACTAAAATTGAAGAATACTTTTTCTATCTTATCTAACTGTGCTTAATCTTTTTCGTTTACGTTTATTTTATTACTATATTTTTACTTGCATTTTTAATATTAATGTATCCTTCTTTATTTTTTTAATTCATTAGTATGAAAATTACATAGCTATGGAAATTATTTATCAGTAAAAATATTTTTAAATAAAATTTCAAAACAAGCCAACAATAATTCATTATTAAAATTCAGTATTAATTTTAATTTCAAAAAATTTTAAATTCAAATTTTCATTTATCACTTTTCAATAAAAAAATCATCACAAGTGAAAACATTAATATATAAAAAATGCTTCAAAACATTATATTTTAGTATTACTTAATATCCAAACTGCATATAAGATAATTGAAATTCTCCGTCATCTGAACACGTGTCTACTATATAGTAATAAATATAACCAATGAGAACCGGTTTTTTTTATTCTAAGTAAATTTATGCATGTATGTATCTAAAAAAGTGTCTCAAGAAGACCAAATAAATCAACACAATTTATTCACATTTTATTTAAAGAAGAAACACCATTTAAAAAAATTTATCATTACCAAATAATATTTTTCGATCGCGTTAAACATGAAAGCATTCATCATTTTCAATATTATTCACTAAAAAAAAAAAGTGTAAAAAAAAAAAAAAAAAAAAAAAGAAAGATTAATTGAAAAAGATCCAAAACTTACTTAAGTGAATCGATGAGACGAGATGGATTGCTTTGTTTGTCTCCTCGAACTTTTCGTTTCAAAAGATCGAAAGTCCTGATTTCGTAACTAAAATCGATCTAGGATCGAGACTTACTTATTCTTCTTGTATTCATAACACATCTCATCTTGCAATTAAGCGAAAATCGATAAAATATGAAAAAAAACTGTCGAGCAAACGAATAATCATACATATAAACGCGATCGTTCGTGGATCGCGCGCGTTCACTTCTAACCTCGTATTCGTGGTTTTCTTGATGAAAATCTTCCGAGTAGAATACAGATGACACTTGATAAAAAAAATCGAAGGATGCTTGTTTATCGTGGATGTAATGCACGAATGGAAAAATGTGAAATATCCGATTTCGAGAGGACGATAATACTGAATCCGCGGCAACACACAACCGGCCATTTAAATGCGCTGTGCTTCTTCGACAGTTTGTGCCGTAACTTCTTCTCCCCTTCTCCTTTGGCCGTCTTTAAAGCAATAACGTCACTGGAGAACAATCCAATCGGAGGCAAACATTTTAAAGTATTCGGGATCTAATCATATCACTTTTTTTTCTTGCAACAATTCGAGAAAAAAAAAGAAATACCTATCGTCATCCCTTGTTTGGTATTCCTACTTATGAATCGAGATTTATCGAAGTTTCGATTGAAAAAATATATAAGAGAACGATTCGATATGCGATTGATCGATTAATAGTAAGAAATTTTGCTTTGGAAAAAGAAAAAAGAAACTAATAAAGATACGTGAGATCAAGTTTAAATATAGAATTTAATTCATAGAAAATTTGTGAAATAAAGTATAATGTGAATAAGTTTCTAATTTTAATTGCTAAATTAATTTTATTAAATTTATTAAATTTATTATATATAAATCTTTCTTTTCTTCTTTTTATCCGAAGTACAAGAATTTTTAATTTTAAAACTTATTATCGAAACTTAATATATTTTGCTTTATCTCTCTTAGAAGAATAATAATCTCCTGCAATAAATAATTTATACTTTATTAATCTATTATCATAATCTATCATCGTTATAAATTCGATGATATTAAGATCATAGATGGAAAAAATAATCTTTGTGCAGGAATAAGACGATTATTTATTGTACTATTATTTATAGCAGTATTATCAATTTCTAAGTTTCTCAACGAAGAACGTTGACTTTAGACACATTTGAACATTATCTTGAAAAAATATTTTGAAAATTCTAAATCGATAACGTATTTTATATATATATATATATATATATATATATATATACATATCTTTTCTTATTTTACGAACATGCTTAATGATATTAAATTATATATATTTGGATATATAAAAATATATAAATAATATAGACTTCTAATTATAATTTATATCTAAAAATATGCTCCGTGTTGATTCAAGGATTATATGATTTTTTAAAAATCATGTCATGTGACTGTGCGCTTCATGGTTTTTGCCATTCCATAAATTACGATACTTACCATAAGTACTTACTCATCGATAATTTCGTTTTATTTGAAATATTATGAAAATATCATGTATAATTTTCTAAAGAAGAATAAAAAAAAATTATAAATTATATTAATTATATAAATATATAAAATAAATTCTAAGATTAAATATCTATAATAAAGAAAATATATTTAGTTTATTAAATAATTTATGAAATATTTTAAAAATATTTTTAAAAAATAAATAATTCTAATGCTAAAAATGTTTAAAATAGTTCATTCGAAATATAATTTAATATGAAAATGCGATAAAAGTATTATGTAATAAATATTACTTTCTTAATTATTAGTTAATTAAACATCATTATCATTATTTTATAATATTAATAAATTTATCCAAAGTTAAATTTTAAATTAGAGGTTTGAAAAGAGTAACGTTTTATATTTTACAAATCCATAATCCTATTTACATATTTACAAAATAAAAATTTGAAAAAAAATACAGATTCTAGGAACTGCTATAATGTATCATTATCACAAAATACCATAAGAGAAAAATTAATGTTTGCAAAAGTTTTAAAAAGATAAATAAAAAAAATTTGCAATAGAATGGATATATAAATAAAATAGAAATTAAACAATTTTTACTAAAAATATTTATATATAAAAAAAATTGCAAATAATAAATTTTAATTATTATATATAAAATTTTTTAAATGTGAGAATATATATAAAAAATAATGACAAAATTTAAGATAAATATCTATATAAAATAAATAGAAAATATGGAAAAAGATATATTATAACCATATAAGTATTTCCATAGAACGCTGTTTGTATTCATAATATAATTTCTGCCAGGATACAACTTGTGTGTAACAGGTTGTAATAGTTCATGAGGAATACTAAATTCAGAAGACTGTTGCTCAACATATTATGATTTATGCGTCAGTAGTCAAAAAATAATTTCATTGAATTTAAAAATAGACATACTACAATTTAAATTTAAAACAAAAGATTTAATTCTGTTGTATCAAAAATTTTCTATCTTTTTATGCTAAGTATTCTCAGTTACAAGTACTTATCAAAATTAAAAAGCTAATAATCCTATATTAAACAAATGGATTTATATTAGCTCTTATAACAATATATACTATCTTATCTTAAAAATAATATTTTGATATTTTTTGATTGGAAGGTTGAAAATTAGATTTTTTTTTCTTAATAAATGCATAAAACTTTATAAATATTATATTTTGAATTATATTTTATAAATTGTATAGACAATAAATTTATTAAATAAGAATTTTTTTTAAATCCATTTTTCTTATTTTTTTATCATAATAAAAAATAATATAGAGAAATAGATTAAAATATGACTCAATCTGTGAAAAGATTAAATATATATTGTTACAATTGATGTAAATAGAGAAAAAAAAAATAATAAAGGATTAGGAATTGATCAATTGTTACTTCTTATATTATAATTTATGTTTTTTTTTTTTTTAATAGATACATGAAAACCCTGTTAATAACTTATTTGCTATCTTCAATTAAATTTTACAACTTCATACAAAAATCCCTGATACAGATAAAGGAAATCTCTAAAATAATAGAATACAATAGATCTCATATAATCCAGTGAAAATGGCATTATTATTCTCAATACTTTTGATATACAATAATAATCATTATTAATTAATTAGGTACAGGAACACTTTATCATTCGTGGTATTAATTAAAGATAATCAATTACATACAATAAATTGTTATCAGCCATGGTGCATCGCCTCCTTCGGCATCAATTTCCAATGTAGATACTACATTTTCTTAATTTCGTTCCATCAAAAGTTTAAAAATCTGTTGTTTAGGAAGCGAGCGCCTACGACTATTAAGAATCGAACCAGTATGCGAAGGCCATTCGAGAAGATTCAATCATACGTTCGATTTTTAATTTTTCTTTTCTCTTTTTTTTTTTTTTTTTGTTCTAATTGGTTTTCTAACAAAATTGTTAAAGACAAATAGAGAAAAAGAAAAGTAAGAGTGATCGTATTATTATTGACGAAAACTCGATGTTGAAACGCAAACGTTTAGAAAGTAACGATGCTGATAGTATTCTTTAGCGTTATAACGATTACTAATGATTAAGCTTGCAAAGACTACGATGAAGTTTGGAAAAAAATATATACAAAACGCTCAATGTATCAAATTTATCCTCTCGATATTAGACCCGCTGGTCTCCAATTTAATAAGTATCTCTTAACCTTTTTTTTCCTTAGGCTTACTTCGACCTTACTGCACTAAAAAGGCACAATTTTTCGCACCTGATAAAACATCGTTACGGTCTAGATACTAATTAATCTTTTTTTTTTTCCACCAAAGTACTTGTTTCCCCGATGCCAAATGCATATTGCGCGTCTATTTTTCCAGTATGTGTTACGTTTATGCAGGAGCTTATTTTACAATGTCAAATGGATGATAATGGTGGTGACAAAACATGATTCTTAAGAAGATACACTATTTTGAAACGTTTAAAAAATAAATAAAATGTGGACATTTTTTTCACATATAATTACTAAATGAAAATTTTTATAATGTAATATAATTTTTAATAATAATGTAATTTTAGATTTCCATTTAATAATTATCGATAAAAAAAATTCTATGTTTTATCGATACTTTAGACATTTCAATGTGGTGTATCTTCTTAATATTTTTTTTTCGCAATATCTTCGAATGCGCGATATATTACGTATATTAAACAGAGCGTGTGTATTTATAATGCACGTAATATATCTTCTTAAAAACTAATTTGTAATAATGTTCTTTCCTATGTAAATCTAGGGTCTATACAGACCTTACTAAGGCGAATCTACGCGGGCCTTTGTACAGTCGTTTGGAAAACTATGGGAAGTCTTTAAAGGTAGTACATAATCCTAACGAACTAAAAAAAGAGGAAGAACTTTAAGTTTTTTTAGACAAATATTTAATAAAATATTGATAAATAAATTTTGATAAATTAATTTTTATTATCCTGTTCAGCAATATTTTAACTTTATTATTGTTTAATATTTATTACTTAAAGTTACAAATATTTTTTACCGTTTTATTTGATAAGATTTTTTTAGCTTGCACTTAACACATTGATTTACCAAGATTATTTTTCTGATTAATTTCAAATTTGAATATATTATTTTTTTTATAAAAAAATGTCTAAAATATAACATACAATTTTTTAATATTTTAATTTATTAAACTGTTATATTTAAAATTGATTTTTTGAAAAAAAAAAATATTTTTTTTAAAAGGCCGCTATTTCTTCATTTTTCAAAATTATAAAAAAATTGTACATTATATTTTAGATCTTTATAAAGAATAATGTCCTACTAAACATGACAATAAATAATGTTGTATTTACTATTTTGTAACTTTAAATGATAAAAATTATACAAGAATAAAAAATATTGTTTAACATGATATTAAAAATATCAATATTTTATTAAATAATAATTTAAAGAAAAAAACTTAAAATTTATCCATTTTTTTTTGGGTCGTCAAGAGAATGTACATCCTTGAATAAAATTAGTTGCGGCACTTGTTCGAAGATAGCACGTTCTTTTTTTTCAGAATAATCCTTGTTTCAGTCTATCACTCGAGCGTCTTAACTTGCGCCATAACTTTACCCTCCCATAACGGTAGGACTTCAGAATCGTCGGTTATTTCTTCTTGAATAACCTTTGTATCCAAATCCTCGCACTCGGTTTTAAAGAAATATCTAAAAACAATAATAGATATAATAAATATATAAATAATATTCAAAAATAAAAAATATTATACAAATAAAACTACTTATGCATTTACCGATAGCTGCCTTTTTTAGGAAGGTATTCTTTAAATTGTTTTAAAGTGATATTGTGACCAGGAA